GCATGGACACTGTTGTTCCCGGTGTTGGCGGATCTCGTAATCCCCCGTTTTAGCATGGCGGCGTGCGCGATTTATTTTTAAACGAAATGCGAGATCAGATCACGCACGTAAAACGTCTGTCTGTCTGTGTCTCTGTGCGGGGACAGGCTTTACAGGACGAGTTGAGCAGTCACGCGCAGCGGGTGTCGGAGCTTGAATCGTTGCCAGAGATCAGCACGCTGGCAAAGGTCCTGAAGAATGCGCTGTTGGAGGTGATGTCGCGTCTGCAGCAAAGGCAGCAGGTATCCAACGTTTTCCAATGCTCGGGGGCTTTCGCAAACTTCGCTGGTCTTCGCGCAACAGTCTCGTGAAGTATGATCACGGTGACACGGAAACAGAGAGTTTTAACACATACCGGATAAAGTTCAAACAACAAAAAAAAAAAAAAAAAAAAAAGAAAAAGAAACGAGACTAAAGTTGAATAGAACTATCTAGCAAATATTTATCGTATACATTTATTTTTCAATTAATCATGCTTCGTGTATAGTGGTAATAAAATCGCAGAAATCAGAAATATGGGGAAAGAATATCTGTTCACATACATACAATACTTGTACAAACGTAAATGCACAGCATCATCGAATCATTTTAAACATAGACAATTTTTGTCAAGACAGAGATCTCTAGTCGACTTCTAGTCAAGTTCTAGTTCATTTTGGAATTAGAAACTAAATAAAATGGATTATTCAGTCTTGTGTCGATCAAGAGATGTACAAGGATGTATAAGGAGTATGTATATTAGAAAATGATATACATATGATACAGCCTGTAGAAAACAATGATAATAGAGTGATATAGTTAGATATAAGCATGTAACATTCTTTTTGTTTCCAGTCGCTGCTTCTCAACGTAGTAATTTATGTTATTGTATCACGTATCATTTTGCACGATATTTATTACTTTATGGGTAAATTATGACGGGATAAGGTATACATTTTTATCGTGTCATTGCGTTTAGTTTTCATCTGGGCTTTTCGTCACATGCAACAATTCTGGCGGGTTAAATATCATGCAAGTGTTAGTCGAAGATTCTGTTAATTTTTCATGGCAATGCAAAGTTCCATTTTACGAAAGATTCTCTGTGATGTTTAGTCCGCCATTACGCCGTCATTTTACACTCATCGCACTGTCATCGTTCACTCTTCTTACAATTTTCATGGTGTATCTATTTATACACACATACAAATTCTTACTCTTTATGTTCCTTCTAGCTTAAGGTAATGGATATAATTATATAGGTGCAGCATTTGTTTATGGAATGTTAATACAATTACTCTGTAATTTTTTTCATGCTGTAATTAAAGTATTCTCATTAATCCCCATCTCCCCCCTTTTTTATTTATCCCCCCTCGATATATATCACCAAGAAAATCTTCGAACTCTATGTATATGTACTCGTGTATATGTGTATGTGTAGAATAACGACGACTTTTGGAATATCTTCACTAGAAAAATAAGTGTCCTTTAGAAATTTTAATTTCTCTCCATTCTGTATTTGCTTATTCTTTATTTTTATTTTCTTTCTTTTTATTACTACTTTTTTTTTTTTGTAATTAGATTCAATCGTAAATCTTGAGTCGTTCAATGTTACAGTCTCGATCGATAAATCGCCGGTTCCGTTTTTCTTTGCATTTATATATATATATACGTAGATCATTTAGCGTGCCTAAAATAAACGTGCATTAAAATAAAGTCGAACGTAGTATTCATTTCGGGTTAAAAATACGACAGTATTACGCGGAGTGTTCTTGTTTGCGGGTAATCTCGTTCTTGCTCCTTGATGACCACGTTTTCTGAATAATTCATCCATTTTCGTGACACTATGCAGGTACAACTGTACCTGATCGAAATACAATAGTTGAAAGACCAAATCATGTAACAATCAACGTAACAAGCTAGTGATTAATGTGGTGCTGTCATTAACAAAGGTGCATTGAATTTTGCTACCATAACGCGGAGGGATTTATTGTAATCTATGCTACTGCTGTCAAATCCTATTGTGCAATAGATTTTTCGAGTAATAGAACGAAATAAAATCTACCATCCTCAAATTTCAAACTTACATAGGAAAATATGCAAGTGGCAAAATTTAATTGCTTTTCATCATTAGAGCTTCAGTTTCATCATTCATAAAAATAAATTACACTGTATATTCAATTTATGTTTGACTCTTACTCGGATAATTAAATATATGTTACATTTAGCTAGAAGGTAACAACTAGAACAAAAAATTTCAACATGAGCTCGTGAATTAAGAAAATTTCCATCTTTTCTTTATTTATTACATTTGTCGGAAATAAAATTATAAAGCGGAGCGGCTGAAGTTCTGCTTTTATATAGGAAAAAGTAGACAAAACGTGCGACGAGAGATTATTAAGAAAGACACGTTGCAACGATCGAAGATCGAACGTCCAGCATCCAGGATCGTCAGACAGGTATCTTGAACCAGAATCGTTTCTTCAATTTTCCAGGAGCTTTGCGACGAAGAGGCGCAAGCGGACGAAACGTCAGACCACGATGACGCTACCCTCGATCAGGCACCCTCCATTCACTCGTCCCTCGAAACTAGCATGCCATCTTTAGCTGACGTTTCTCTGCAAACGGGACAGAGTCTACTAGCGAACGACGTCGTCGAGAAACCACAACAGCTGAGCAAGCAGACCTCCACCAATCAAATCCCAATTTCGACCGAGTGTCACTCACTGACCACGCAAACCGTGGACGTATTACACCCTAACATCGAGAACGTTCAAACGCAGGAAACGATAAAGATTCTCAAGACCACGGAAGGCGATCACGACGTGATCGAGATAGCCACGAAGAACGTACCTTCCACTTCCACTCAGGAAGTCGTCCAGGAACGTCATCCTGAAGCGACAACAGAGGACATCGTGGTCGACATGAAGTACCAAGATCCTACGAACACTGACAACACCACCAGCGAGTTGAACATCGTTCACGCTGCTCCACAATCGTTCGAGACTGTCCTGGTTGAACCAGACGACGTGACCACCGAGGTGGTAGTGGACGAAGATGGTTCGAAGAGGATAATCGTTAGGAAATTGAGGCGAACCACTGTGACCAGTAGACAAACCACTCAACAACACGTGGCATCGACGTCCACAGCGATCGGAGACGCTCCGTCCGTGGTGCAAGCATTCTCCGAGGCTACCATGCGAGATCAACAAGTGACAGTAAGTACCGCGAAGCCGGACGGAACGATAGAAACTACCACGAGACAGATCTACGGCGGAAGGGTGACTACCGGTACTCCGTACAAGGACGTCAATGTGGAGGAGTACGAATCAGCGCCACAGTACACGCACATGGTGACCCAGGGTCACATTCGAGACATCAGCCCGCAACCTTTCGAGGAAGGCCTCTTGATGGAGGGTGGAGAATATCGGGCACAAACGTCGAGCGTGCACGCTGTGGTGCAACAAGTTACCCGAAGGGTGGTCAGGAAGACTAGGAGAATCATCAGAAAAATAACGATCATAGATGGTAAAGAGACTGCCACGGAGGAGATCATAGAGGAGCCCGAGGAAGTGGAGATCGACGAGAAGAATATTCCGCACATAAGTATCAACGTTGTTAAACAGGGAGAACAGAGGCAGTTTGGAAGAGATGCTGGAGTAGGTGAAGGGAGACCACCGGAGGGTATTTTGGTTGAAGAAGTCACTGACAAGGAAGAGAGAGAAGGTCAAGAGTTGAAGTTAGAAGAGAAGGAAGTTAAGAAGGAAATCGAAGAAGATAAAGACAGAGATTTGAAGATAGAAGAAGTTACAATCGATGACGCGCCCATGCAAGGACCGTTCTTTGGGGCGTTTGCTAAAGACATGCATCCAAGCGTAAGCTACGTAGAATCGAGATCCTTGAAACATGTTTCAATGACCGACAGGAAGAAAGAGGAAATTACTTCACCAGAGAAGATTCTGGAGAGTTCAGTGGAACCTTCAGTGATAGACATTCGAAAGGAACAATCTCTTGAACGAACACCTGAAGAATCATTGTCACAAATTCAACCAGATGACGAAAGTTCGAAACCAGAATCTGTCGGGAAGAAAGTAGAACCAATGGACAAATACGAGCACGAGCACTTCCTGGTCGAGGTAAAAGACAAAAAGTCCCTACCGTCGGTCAGCCAGGCGTTCATCGATGCTGAAGCGTCTGCTGCGTTGCAGAGTCCAATCGGTGAGGTCAAGATACGCGAGACGCAGGTGCAGGAAGAGTTAGCAAAGTCTTCGATCGAGTCGATCGTGTCGGAGGACGTGGCGAGCGTCACTAAAGCGACCTGTAAGTCTGTCGATGCACCAGTACGCGGCGAAACACCCGGTATCGAGCTAGAAGGTCGCACGTTAGATGTAGAAAAGCACGATAAAGACACTAGAGGCACCTTAGATATACTAGAGGGAAAATCATCGGGAGAGGTTTCGGTCGAAACGGCGACGAAAGAGGCATCAGACTCGTCGATAGAGGATCAGCAAAAGACAGTTCACGTTTCAGAAGAGCGACCTGCGCAGATCAAAGGGGCAGCCTCTGCGATTCCAGTGCCGATTGAGAGTGAAACGCACGAGAAACCGGACGCTCTACCTATCCACGTGAGACAGCAGATAGTGAAGAACTCGTTCGTTCCGGAGATCGATTATTCGGTCGACGATTATATGGACGAAGCCTTGAAACCGGAATACAAACCGATTTTCCACAGAGTGGAGATATCTCTGGCTGTGAGGAAAGACGGCGAGGAGATGCAGCCTACAGTGTCGGTGAAGAGTCAGGCCGAACCGGAAGGAACTGCTCGTCGTATGGTGAAGGAGGACGTCGACATCAGTCTACCGGCGGACAAGGAGAGCAAATCAGTTATCCACGACAAGATCGTCCAAACATCTCCACCGTTAGATGAGCCCAAAATCGTCGGTTTGGACAAGTCTGTCAGAGTTTCGGAGAGACGAGTCCTCACCTCGGATAAATCCGTCGTCACGTCGGAGAAGGAAGAAACCGACAAGTCTGCCATCACTTCGGAGAAGGAAGAAACTTCCGACAATGTGATCACGTCGGAGAAAGAAGACGAATACCAGACTGAGCCTGCGATTGAATTCGAGGAAGGGACGATTGTGCCATTAGACGAGAAGGCGAAAGAAAATGTCAGATCGCCTGTGTTATCCGTGGAGACGAAACTGAGCGTAGGCATCTCTCTGGCATCCAGTATCGCAGACTCCACGGAGATCGACGTCGCGTTATCCGATTCTTCGAAGCACGACGTCAGCGAGGCACCGCAGCCCGATATCACGAAGATGCTCGAATCTAAAGAGCTGGAGCTATCTTCGAAAGACGGAACGTCGGGAGGGGAGGACGGTTACGAGGCGGACAGAACGATAGTGTCGACGACTACGCCGGACGACGAGGACACGATAAAGACGAAGAAAAAGAAGAAGAGGAAGCAGAGAGTACGTAGCCTCAAGGACGAGGAGCAGACCGAATTCCCAAAGACCACCTCTGATGACGAGACGTTCACGGACGATCTGGCGGATGGGGAGCGACGAGTGGAAAGCGAGGACGCGAAGGCAACGAAGAAGAAAAAGAAGAAAAAGAAGCGAGCGGACGTTGACGTCGAAAAGTCACCAGCAGACGCGCAGACTGTTCCTCGAGTGTTCAACGTTTCCGTAGCCACGTCACCGAAGCAAGAAGAGACGTCGGAAATTTATGTTCAGACCTCGCCGCATTTATTAGAGGAGAAGGTGCCAAAGATCGAAGAAGTTCACGAACAAGTGCAAACCTCTCCTCCAATTGCGCTCGAGAAGGAGGAGGAGAAGGAATCGGAATCACCGAAAGCAGAGGAGGTTCACACGGAGATGCAGACGTCACCGTTGTCTACTTTGGACGTCAGCATGCAAACTGTGCCGGAGGAGGAACCTGAGAAACCGAGTACACAGCACTCTGAAATGCAAACGTGCCCGTTATCTGCTTCGGATTTCGGCGCCCAGGCTGTCACCGAAGAGCCGGCTGAAATAGAAGAGACGAGTACTCAAACGATGGAAACTGCCGAGAAGAAAGTGGAAGAGTACGCCGTGCAAACCAGTCCGATCGAAGATGTTGAAGAAGCGAACGTTCCGATCGAAACTGAAGAGACACAGGTTCAAACTGTGGCGACGGACGTGGTTTCCATCGAGGCGCAAACATCGCCAACGCCAGCGTCAACGGAGATAGAAACGCAAACCGCGGAGAAAACGGTGGTCGCTGTCGAACAGCAGACCACTCCACCACCGAGCGAAGAGAAGGTTCTAACTGGCATGGCTACTCAAACTATAGCGCCTGAAGCACCTCGGACCATGGAAACAGAAGCGCAAACTAGCAAACCGAGTAGTCCAGAGGTAGTCACTCTGGACTTCAACGTTCAAGCAGATCTGACAGAGCAACCTTCGCTCGAGGTGATGGAAACGCAGACGACTCCGGAGGAGAGTCCTCGACAGGTGGACACTCAAGAAACCGAGTCGCAAACGATGTTGCCCGAACCGACTCAGGAAATTATGATACAGACGAGTCCAGTTACGTTCGCTGCAGAGAAAGTCGAAGTGTGCGAGCTGTCCTCTCAGACCAGTTTGGAAGAGAAGAAGCAATCGATGGACGAACAGTCTCAGACAGTTGCGCCAGAGAGAATAGAGACTTCGGACAGCTCGGTGCAGATAAAAACAAGCGAATTGGTAGCGCATGTCGAGGAGAGCGTGCAGATCATTCCCGAAACTCGCGAACATGACGCGCAAACGATCATCGATGAAGAGAAACCGTTGCTGGTGACGGTCTCGCAGCAGACGAACGGTGTGTTACAAGTTCCTGAAGAGGAGAAACTGGTAATTGAAGACGAAGAAGGTAACGTGATAGACGTGGTGGACGGGGAGGTGAAGACGTCTCTGAAACTTACAGAAATTCCAGTAGCACCTGATGTACAAGTACAAGAAACTAAGGAACACTTGGATGCGACGAAGATTGAGGAAGTAACAGAACCGGCGTCTGTCGTGGAAGAATCTGCCAAAGAGGAAGAGTTGAAGGTTACAGAACGATTGCAGAGTCTCTCCGAGAGAGCGGAAGAAACTGAGGAATCGACGGCGCCTTCGATGGAGGATACCGAAACTGCGAACGCTGGATTTGAAATACGTCTGCAGGCAACTATAGAGTTCCCTATCAGCGACACCACTGCTGACACTACCAGCAAATTAAGCTACGATAGCTCGCAAGACACGACCATTACGGAGGACATAAGCTCTGGAGGAAAGGTAGACGACAGCGTTGGAAGGAGACAGAAACGGAAGAGAAGACACAAGACCATCGAAATCTCCGCGACGAGTGAAAAGGATCTGGAATCCATATTTGGACAACCGATAGAATCGCGAGACGTGTCTCTAAAGCTGTCTTATTCCGACGTCGCTAAGAGGAACGTGGGTAAAGAGAAATCTCCTCCTGGTGAGGCTGGTTTGGACAGAGGTTCCGAGGAAGACGATATCAGGATCGTGCCGGAGGAGAAGCCGTATGAAATTGAAGAAAGTGTACAAAATGTTGGCGTACCGTTTGCAACGACGGAACCAGTGGCAATTAAAGAGACGCAAGACGTATGGACGTCAGGCAAGGATCAATCGGAAGGACAACAAACGCCAGTTATTCCACACATGCCTTCACCTGAACCGATGGACACGACCGAAGAACCACTTTCTCCCGTGGAATCGGTAGAAATGTTGCAAGAAGCTGATCGACTGAGAATTAAGACCTACGCGGACATTATCAGCGAATCTTCGAAGAAGCCAGAAAGGGATCAGTCTTCGTGGGAATTGTCCCACCATGCTGTACCGCAGAAGGGCGCGAGTTCGAAAGCTTTCTTACTGGCTGAAGCAGCAGAGTACGAACCTCAACATCAAATAACACAGAGTAGTCAAACGACCAAAGCGATCTCCGATCGAATGCAGAACCTTCGAAACGCCAAACAATCGAGTCACCTAGGGAACATCCTTCACATAGCTCACCTGGACAAGATAGCAAACGAGAAACAAGCTGAGGAACGAGCTGCCGAGGTGAGGAAGGAGCTGTCACATTTGAGGGACGCCGCGCAGGAAAAAGACGCGATCACCGTCGAAGAAACTCTGGTCGTCGTCGTGGATACGATTTCCACTTGGCTGGAGACGATCGAGTATAGAATTTTCCTGAGCAAAGAGTGTCCCACCGGCCCCTCCCACGATGACAAGACTTACGTCGAGCTGAAGGACGAAGTGGAGAACGTGGAAGAGAATATTCAGGAGTTGAATAACATTTGGAAATTGGTGGAGGCGAATTATCCAGGGGAAGATAGGAATAATTTGCAGGAGTGTTTGGACGCTCTTATGAATCAGGTTAGGATGATCGAGGACGCGACCGACGATGGAGAGAAACATCTCACGTGTGAGCTTGCTAGGTGGGACGAATTCGTGAATGGCGTGAACAACATGTACAGGTGCGATCTCTGTTTAAATTTGAGAGTAATAAATTTTTCAGAATAAATTTCAATTCTTTCTCTTCTTCTTATTATTTATGTAGATTAATCGAGGAACAAAGGAGACGTCTCAACGAGCTCATCGAACTCGAGGCGTCTACGAAATGGAAGCTAGAGGAGCTGGACAAACTGGAAACCATGAACCAGTGTCACATTTGGAAGACAGCAACGTTGCTCACCACCTCGCACGAATTGCTATGCGATTATCCCGGGAAACACATTCCGGAAGAGACGTACGCGGCTCACGAGATGACGAAGATAATCGAGCACGGTATATGCATCGAACGTGAACGTCTTCTCCAACTGTTGGCCCTAGCCGAGGAATACGAGCAGACTCTTCGTGAATTCGCCCAGATCACCGATATCGCGGAGAACTTGTTAGAAAGTCCCATCTCCGTGATGAGTTTGGAACATTTGCAAGAGGAGATGCAGAAGCACAGGAAGTTCTTCGTGAACTTGAACCACTGTCGAGCGATTCTGGAATCGTTGGAAGGGAACTTGGACCCAGAAACCAGGACTAAATACGCAGATCTTCACGAAGAGCTGCACGGTAGAGCTATATCGTTGTTAGACCAGGCTGCGTCCAGGGCTCAGCAAATGGCTCTGGCTGCATCTAGATGGATTCTCTTGGAACAGGGAGTGAAAGAGGAGCGGGGGTGGCTCCAAGTTGCTCATCAACGAGTTCCCGACCTCCAGACGGTGACGTCGTCCGATTATGATCAATACATCTCGCTGTATCAGGTAAATTAATATTCTTTTCTTACAGAATCTGAGTCGTAAATAATTTTGCGTAATGATATCGGATATTGGATATTACACTTAGCCTGTATCAATTTTCGTTGAAAATAGAGGATACGAGGAATTGTTTGGAATTGTTTCTTTTAGTCTCTGGCGACGGACGTTGCGACTCATCACGCTCGACTAATTCAGCTTCTGAACGTGGCACGTGGTCTTCAGGAATTAGTGAACATCGAAGATCCCGAGGATCGTTACGGCGAGGCTTTGGACGTTATCGTGAAGCTTCAAGACAACGTGGAGTCGTCGTTGAGGAAATTGTTATCGTTCAGAGAGAGTTGGTACAACCAGGAAATGCTGACGAACCGGTTGGAAAACTGGATGACGTTGGTGGAGAAGGAATTGGTCAGTCTTCGCGATCCCTCGGGCGGTCATATACGTCAATTCTGGGTGAGTAATCGAGAATCATTCTAACGATTAAAGTAAATCCGAAAGATCAAATGCTCGCGATCAGAGATCAGACATTAAAATCCCTTCACACGTCGAATATTTTCGTCTCGCCAGGAACTGAAGGCACAGTACGAAGTCCACAACAACATTCGAGAAGAGGCTAGCAATAGCTTTGAGCAAGCCCTGCGAATAATTCCCTTGTCGGACGAGATGCTGCAAAGGCAGTTCCATCGTGAGATACAAGATCGTTGGAACGACGTCTCGCAGCAGATAAACAGCATCCACGAACGAGTGACGCGAAACATCTCTTCGGAGGACATCTCGTCCAACGAGAAACTGAAGCTCCTCGAGAGAGAACTGAACGAACTGCGAATAACCGTCGACAGTTTCCACGGTGTTCTAAAGACGGAGGAGGAGCTAGATCTGTACATCGAACGTTTGACTGTTTTGTTCGACAGAATCTGCTTGATCCAAGACGAGCTGGGTCGCCTGGGTCTGCTGCCAGTGGCGGAGAGCGAGAAGGTCGGTGTTCTGCTGTCCTCAGCTCGAAGAATAGAAAGTCAAATCAGCGAGGAGTTGGACGCGGCACAGTTGCTCAGGGAGAGGCTTCAGGCGATCCAACGTGGCCTGAGTCGCGTTAGGAAAGCTCATCAACGTCAATCGTCTGTATTGGATCAGTGCGAGGGAAGCGAGCGACAGGGAAGCGACGTGGTCGCAGCTGCCGTCGATCGATGTCAAACCGTCGCTGACGAGCTCGCTATTTTATGGCAGGATATCATGGGCCTCAGACAATTATTGCACACTCTACCCACGGTGATGAGGGTCTCGGTGTCGCCAGTCAGCGTCGAACGAGACATTTCGAACCTTCAAGACACTCATACGGATTTAGAAGCTAGGTGTACACGATTGTTGACTTTGTTGAAGAACAGACTCGCTTTATGGAGGAGATTCGAGAAACAGCTGGAAATGGTGCAGCAGTCGGTCCAGGAGGCTGACTACATGATGGAGTTGTTGACCGTACAAGGCTCTGTCGATTACGAAAGGCTACTGAAAGCTACTGAAAGGCTAGAGGTAAGCTTTCATCTCTATATCGATCGTTCGAAGGTAATCAAAGGTATAGAGTTCTGTGCATTGTTCTCGATTAGGTGGTTACGTCACGCGAGCTAATTTTCGTTAATCGGGAAGGATCGTGAGTCGATGCGCGATGCCAATGAAACGATTCGAGACATCCGAGATTTATAATAACACACTGCTCGAACATTCCTTGAAAGTCTCTCCCGGGCCTCGGAATGCGTTAAAACTTGCAGAAGTTTGAATAACTAACCGAATGGTATCGACCGGCCTGCTTTCGCGCGCCCTCGACACTTCCAATCGTTCGCAATTGAAGGAACTAGTATGTAACTCGGCTCTATAGACGAACATATTCCAAAATAAGCTTCGCAGCTAATGGAAGCCTCGGTTCATTCAGAAATACGCACCCATGTGAGGCAACTTTTTATTAATTGAAAATATAACAAAAGCTAATAAAAGTAAAGAACAGGGGGAAATAAAGTATATTTCAGAGGCTGCAACAAATTACAAATATCTTAAATATGAACGGTTTGAAAGTAACGCAAGAAATGTAGATATAATTTTTTTACAAACTATATTCCAAGTGTATTGGGATTCAAGGTAGAATAATAAATAGTTCGTGAAAATAAAAATGAACTGGATGCACTTCTTGTGCAGCACGCAGATCGCTGATCGATCGGTGCTCTCACCGGAAGACGCACTTTCCTCCGCGATAACCTTCGCCACGTGCGAGGGAAGCAGCGCGGTTTGCGCAGGCGTGCACGAGTCTCGGATCGGTGTTATCGGAGGTCGTGTATCAGTGACACGAGTTCCGTCGTCGCGAACGCGTCGAGCGCGCGCATTTGAACCATCTCGTCTCGTCGTCCAGTGATAAGTCACACACGCGCGCGAAGTGTACCTCGTCTTTTCGTATTCGAATCTCTTTCTCTCGTTATGACAACATTGAAACGTCGAGCACCACGATTTCGTTGGCGCTCGTGAAACGACAGATGAGAAACGTCGAGAATGCGGCAACGTGATCCCTGTGAAAAATTGATGAAACGATCGATAGACGATGGTGCATCTGCGCTCGGCGCAATCGAATTGGCTGATCGGAAGTAAGCACTGAATATTCATAAATTGCAGAACGTTCGAACAATCGAAGCTCGACGACGCAATGTTCGTTCCATTGTTACGTTAGAATGCGTAACGTTGTGTTCAATCTATGATTATTTTTTGAATCGTTTCTTTCTTGAGTCACTTCTTCCTTTCCCTTTTGGTATTCGATTTCTCGAAAATGAATTTTTTCGCCATTGAATCTTTTAGAAAAATAGGAGTATGTGCGTGACAATGGAATGATGAAAGCAAAGTCGTCAAGTTTTGTTTCTTCGCTATGTCCCGTATGTCGTAATCCCATGTATAAACAAGTCGAGCCAGGTCGACGAGTATACATACAAATATGCAAAAACAGATGTCTTTAAAATCTACTTTAAAAGAAACACAATCAACAGCTGTAGAAACACAACCAACAGAGATAGCCATTTTTAGTTTCGGTGAAAGAAGCAGTTTATGAGCCTCGTGTCTCGTGAATAACGAGAAACTCCTAATTAATCGTGTTTAAAGAGCGTTGAATCAGAATGTCATGGCTATCTAATGTAATAATCGTAAACGAGTTGGGCCAAATGAAACGTTCGTCCTTGATGAACGACTCGTCGCGAGTAATCTCTCATTTACAATTTTCATGAGCGGGTTCATCGATTCCACGTGGCATTATTGTTTAGTTGGAAACCACGAATGAAAGAAAATAAATAAATTCAGAAAATAAATAAATCTAGGCAAAAAGTTCTTCTCCGCCACTAAAATTGTCAAATTGAAACAATCTAGATAGCCATTAAAGTATTTTCCGAGAAAAAAATATTTACCAAAGAGAAAAAATATTTAACGAGAAAAATCGACTCAATATTTTCTTTTACACTTTAATATTGAAATATATTGCTGAATTGAAATATATACTGACAATATAAAAGTATTAAACGTATAAATGTGAAAGAGGAGAGCAGAATAATGGAAGAATCACAGCAATGAACACAATGTTCATGAATGATGAACACGATACGTACCAAAGAAAAAAATGCAAGAAACGAGTATGTAGCAGATGCTCGCTAATTCATTGATCTAATTATGTACGATGGATGAGACAAGCGAGCACGACTAGGATATATGACGCAGCAATACAGTATGTAAACTATGCCACGTGGAAAAGCACGGGTTTATCTAGCTTGAAAAGCAACCGATGTCTACAATTTCCTTTTATCTATCAAAATTACATTCTCCAAAATGTTCAACCGATGAATTCGCGCATTGGAATCTGATGACAACGTGCGACTTTGCGCAGTAGTGCACTTTTATGTTTCGTTATTGTTCCGCGTGCAATCCATGTCTTTGTTTGCGTTTGATACAGGTCGATCGTTTTAGATAAGATATTTTTCTCTTTTATTAATTAGAAAAGCGGATATTTTTTGCAACGATAATTAATAATAGTAGTGATAGATCGAGAGATATTGTATTTAAATTCAATGTACCTTTCTACACACTTCTACATATTTTATTCATTTTTAACGTAAAGTTCCCAGATGTGCAGAAAATTTTTACAGTAATAATACGATTCATTGTTTGCTAATTACTTACTCGTTGATTAATTTCTAGACACTTGTTCTAAAAAGATAAAAAATGTGTCGTGTATTTCACAAAAGAAGATTTTTAAGAAAAAAATGTCACATTGTAAATTATAATTTTTCATCTATGAAGATTCTTCAAAATACATATCACGTATCGTGACACTCTCTTGTTTCGTGTTTCAATCTTATGGATTTAATTTTCTTCGTGTAATAATTCTTTTAATTGGGTTTATTTTTAACGCTCGGCTGATAACACGAGTCATGGAACACTCGTGGAATTTTAGTCTTGGCGACTGTATCATATAAAGCGGAAGCCACAGGCGAGTCGCAACTTCCTGTCCCGTTATTTATCGCGATACCGCGCCCAGTAGTCCCGAACGGAGACTATGACAGATCGCTCGCTCTGCGCGCATTTTAGTAACTTCCGGTTCGCGAAAAATCAACCGATCGGCTTCGTTTAAAATTGACAAGTGCACCACGTCGCCTGGCACTTGCCGGCTTGAAATAGACGCGAGGCGGGCCTCGATTATCCGAATCGCGCGTTATAAAAGTTTTGGGATACTAGCTCCTCGTCACGAAACTTCACTTTATTTTTTAAATAAATTAAAAGGAACAGACATGTACGCCAGTTCTTGGACAGAGAAATGAGATCTGAGATCTGAGAAAATTTTTGTTTATTGCAAAGTAATATTAACTCGTGCCTACGTTTAAATTTTACACTGGTCCAGACTTTCAAAGAATGTGAAAAAAATCTTATGTCACGTGATGAAATCTTTATTATATCGTACAATCAATTTTCACGTCAGATCTTTAAAAGATTTTCCAGCAAAAAAAAAAAAAAAAAAATAAAAATTCGCTCGAGAGAAATTCATGTGTAAAATTTCGCTCGAAGAGTGCAAACGACCAGGGTTGTTAAATAATTTAAATTTTACAATTACTACGGTTATCTGTGGGTTTAATGATGCCATTTAGGAACCATTTCAAGAGAAGACATTCTATCGTAAAACTTTTTACGAGCATTAAATTGGAACAAATTCCCTTCGTTACTGTTCCAAATGATCGATGCGCGAAACTCATCAGTCGGTTCTTAACTAAACAAAAACTTGCGAGAATTTTACTTCGCTCGAGTAGCTCGATTTCAATTTAAAATGTATTCGTCGTTGAACAACGAAGCGAGGATGATTACAGAATTGGCACGAACGTAGTCGTGGAAAAAGACTTCGCGCGGTGTAAAACGGGATTTCGTTAGAAACGCACTGGCGGCGATTCGATTTCCGCCAAAAGGTTTCACCGGAAAACCGTCAGCCAGGTGAACGAACTCGAGTACACGACACAAAATTAGTGCAACCACGTTCTGACCGAATTCGAGCAGCGGGCTTCTAGTCTCGTGACTCAAAATTATTTATAGGACGTATTTAAGGGAAACCGGTATGTGCATTCTTTGAGTAACACCGAGTGCACACGTAGTTGTTTGCCCGAGTTGTTACTACGATTTCAACGTATCCATATATCCCACGATCGTGCGAATATCGTGCGATCTCAGTTGAATTCTCCGTCGTTCGAGAAATACGAGCAACTCGGGTATGAGAATTTTCTAATAAGTTGAAATTTCAATCGAATTAACTTGAGACAGTTCTTCTTACTTAAAATATCCTGTCTAGCATTTCTTCATTTTCGTATTAACCCGATGAATATAATAATACGTATTATACTACAAAAATATAATTTTATTTTGCATTTTACGACAGAGTAAAATTTTAGTAATAAAGTTAAATCAAATTAAAAGTTCCAGTTAAGCAATATAAAATGTCCAATGTCTAGTGATATCATTAAATCTTTTCTTTCTTTTCGAATAAAGTTACTGCTATCAGATATACGTTCGGTATTAAGAAACGTTTAAACGGAATAAAGAAAATAAAAAGAAGAAACAAAGAAAAAAACAGTATAAAACTTCAGTTCTCTTCAATTTCGAAATAATAGGAAATTTTAATTAAAGAGGGCAGAATATTTCGTACGCAGTGAGTAATTCCAACTGTTTGCACAAGAGACTAAAATATGCCAATGCAGGTAACTACCAAAGAGAATTAAGAAATCTGTTTGAAGGCCTCTCGGATTAATAGCAACGACGGTCGCAATTAATCGTCGAGCAATACATCGTTCGATTAATCGTTCCAAGAAAACAATGAAACAATATCCAATGATTTTCTTTCTTCCTGTGCTCGCGAGGTTATATAACAACTTCACGATTCCACGTGATCGAAAGGAATAAAGCCGAACCTTTATCGTATCGATGTAAAATATCGCAGAACGTACGTCACAGATAATTTTACTCGTTACTAATATGTATGAAACGCGTGCGAAGTATATTTTCTCGTTTAGAATGTTTATCTTGCATTGCGAATCCATATACGATGAAATCATTGGTCGAATGTGGTTATCCTCGTTTCGTTCGCGCTATGTTAACATATGGAAATTGGAAAATAAAGGCTGCAAGAATAAATAATAAGAGTCAACGAAGTTAATCGTTTGCACCAAGCTAATTAAAGTTTCGTTGAACCTTGGAGTCTCGATAAAAGAAGCTTCTCTGCGCGAGTTCGTTTCATTGATCAGTACTGATTAAACGAACTCGAATGAAACACGCTTAATTGCCATGTGTAACCGGAGAACATAGGCGTCTGATAATCCTGGAAATTGATCTCCAATGGAAGATAAATCATCTGTCAGGGAAAGAAAATATTTCCAATTCTTTTCATCCCTTTTCACACGACGATTCGTATTGATATTCGAACATAATTCGATCCTAAAAATTGCTAAATTAATTTTACTTGAAGAATCAGAGAAAAAGTCATTTTCAACGAATTTCGCATTTTCTTCTATATGTTGTGTGCTTTATCACTAGTTATCTCTGCATACTATGAATTAAAAATTTCTGAATTTATTTTGAAGGTAGATATATTTATTTAATGGATATACTTCTTTTTGTAAATAAAAAGCAACAAGCCATGTGCTATGCAAATTGCACACAATGACCGGCTGTTCGAATAATTCTCCCAAATCTTCCAATCGACTTTTCACGATTTAAATACACTCGACAACGTTCGAATTGTCTTTGAAAAGAGGACGAAAAAGAGGAGGAGAGAAAAAAAAAAAGAGAAACAAAGAGTGACAAAGAAACGTTTGTTGTACGTACGAAACAGAGATATTTTGTCTTGTTGCAGGGTCTGAGCGGTGATTTGGGCGCGCGAGAAGTTCTTATTGGCGAATTGCGAGAGGCTGCCGAACCTCTGCGGGAGGGTTGCGCTGCAGAGGTCCGCGAGAAGGTCGAAGCGGCGGTAAATGAGGCCGTACAAGCCTGGGAGGACACCAGGGCCGAATTAGATGCCCTTTGCACCAAGTATCAGCACGCGTGCAGATTGTGGCAACAGTACAAAGACTCGAGCGCCGCGGTGAAGGCCTGGGTGGACACGCAGATGGACAACGTTGCTAATCTGCCACCAGAAGAGGCCGTCAAACACATCAAGGTACGCGTGAACACCTCTCTATTACTCGAAATTTGCACACCTGGTTAGTTAGTTGGTTAGTCGATCGATCGGCCGGTTTATATATATATATATATAT